CATTATTTATATATATCCAAGTATTTGAATTGTTAGAATAAACTACAAATAAATGATCTCTAATCAAATGCAATAAAATTATCATAGAGAAATAGCAGACAGAGAACTCTGCCAGCTATCAAAACATTGGGCACCAAATGTTGTACCTATGAGGCAAGTGAATCTTTTCTTTTCACCAATACATAGAGTATCATCTGACCTTCTGAACATGGTACATATTGCAGGTAAACTTAAAATTAACTGCATTTGTCAATGATACACAGAGCCAGGGATCTAGCTCAGAGGTTCTGCCACCTGCCTCAAAAGCTCAAGGTCCCAAGTTCAATCCCCGGTACCAAAAAAAAAAAACCATGGTTAACATGTGTATACACACACGTGTATGTGTGAAAGCCAAGGCCTTGGGCAACGGAGCTATACCCCAGTCCACATACATAGCTAATTCTATCCACTCTACGAAGTGGTGAAATTGGGCTCAGAATGACACAACTGCAACAGAATTATACAGTCTCTCACCAGTATCAATCTCAGGTCTAATTCATATAATTCTAGCAGTAGATCACAGGGCTTCCAACAAAATGGATTCCACACAGCTCAGGCTCTTTCCTTCCCTCTGTGACCCCACAAAGCAAGGAAAAAGAGTGAAATTTAAGCTGACAGGACTCATTTTCTCAGTCCTTTTCATTTTAAATCTGTTCACATTTTCTACTGCAGTTATTCATAACTTTTCCTTGATTTTCTTAGGTCAAACACGTATGTTCTCCAGATTAGAAATTCAACAGATACAACACTTGAACATGCAACTGTTTGGTTTTAAGAAAAAAAATGTATACAAAATAGAAAAGCTTTTCTAAAAGGCCTCCTTTGCCCACCCCAGCGTTGTGCCCTGTTATTTTATGATTCATTTAATTACTAAACATTTGTTGAATACAAACTATGCACAAGAGAGTGTCTATGATAATGCAAAAATTTGCATTTGGCTTACATTTTCCTTAATTTGGGCTCCATGATATACTACAATTAACTACAGATATTCTCTCTCAGGTTATTATTTATATAATTCCACATGTAACTGAATTAAATATTGAACTGGAAACATAGGAAATTGCTTTAAAAGTAAATGTATGAATATAAACATGCATGTGCATAATTTTCTATAAAAACATATGAATTGTCAGATGGGAAAAAAGTGCCTTATTTTCAGCAAGTAGCGATCCAAAACATCAAAGGAAAATAGTCTATTTAGAGAGTACCCATGTGCTGTGCAAAACGCCAGCCGTGAAGGAAAAAAATAAATGTTCTTCATTTATCCCTTGGACTTAGGGCAAGTGCTATGGTCTCGATGGACATCTGCCAACACCCAGGGTGCCAAAGGCTCTGTCAGGGGGAGGTGTGGAGACCCGGGAGCTGGGAAAATGTGGTAGTTCTTAAGTCAAAGGGGACATAGTTTTTCTCTTTCATTTCCTGGTTCATTGTGTGAGCTGTAAGCTCTGCCACTGGCTCCCGTCCTTGACATTCACCACCCCCACCAGAGCCCCAAAGTAATAGGTCTGGTGGATCTCATACAGGAACCTTCAAAACTAGGAGCTGAAATAAACCTATTCTAAGTCAATTACATCAAGTATTTCATTACAGTAACGTGAAGCTGGCTGATATAGCATGAGCTCTGATAACCTTTACCACTTGTGGCTACACAGCATTAATGATTACAAATTATTATAATATTTTTTACAAATTCATTCAGCTGCAGTATTTGATTTTCTAGGTACCATTTTTTTTTTTTAACCAATAGTACTTTCTCTAGGAAGAATTCATTTTCAAAGAAAGTCTCCATAGGCTCCTTTAACAAAATAAACGTAGTGCTGGATTCTTTCTGTCCTTCAATGTCTCACTCAAAATTAACTACAAATCTTTAATCTTCTTCAAGCCAGGTAGACAGCGTGATAGAAGCAGCTATTTTCATACACTGCTAAGCTGCTCTTGGGCCCCTGCCACTTTTTCCTCTTCTCTATGGGATCGTCTATAAAAAGCTAAGGAAAAAAAAAAAAGCTAAGGGAGTGTTAAATCCAAGAAAGGATAGAACTATGACTCATAGAAGGTTGCAGCAATACAAACAGAAATAAGAATCAAATCTGGAATATTTTGCAAAACAGGGACCACTGTGTAAATTCAAGTACTATAATTCATTCATTTAAATAATATTTATTGAATGTTAGGTGATAAGGAGAGATAAAACATCTTATTTAATAAGTTTAAGGCAGAGA